CCTCGGTGAGTGTGGTATAGGGCCCCGTGAAGACACCCTGGGCTCCGACCTGCCCAGATGCTTCGGGAGCGAAGACAATGACGGTGCCTGTTGGATCACCCCCAGCCGGCGCCAAAGTCAGAGTCTTCGTGCCCTGGCCAGACCACTGACCTGCAGTAAGAGTCGTGTAGGGGCCGGAGAAGGCAGCATTGTCCGTGGCCACGGGAGTACAGATAATCTTGGTTCCGACCTCATCGCCGGCCTTAGGGGGGATGACAATGGTGGTAGGCTCAGAATCAGGGCCACCATGAGCAGTAAGTGTAGCGCAGGGACCATCGAATATAGAGAAAGAGTTTCTGAGACAAAGCGGGCGTCAGTATGGTCCGAGGAAGTAGCCATAGGGGAAGGTCAGAAACGGGCTTACATAGTAGAGGTGTGAGTGATGGTACTGGTGACCACAAAGTCCGACACAAGGAAAGTCGGGGCGTTGGTGATGGACAAGACAGTGCCGGCAACACTCAACGTTGTGTTGGAACAGATATCGGCGCTGAGATGAACAGGGATCTGCTCGACCATTACGTAGGCCTGAACAGTCACAGGGTCTCCAGTGGGAGCAAGGCAGCTAGACGTAGCCGACACAGGCTCCAGGGCCAGAGCCGAAGCCAGGGCGGCGGCAAGCGCTCCTTTCCTTGAGGCGCGCATTTTAAAAAGAGAAGTGAAGAAGGCGTTTGCTGAAGTTGCAGGGATTCAAGTGAATGGCAAGATACAAATGAGGAGAAGATAGTGATGATATTATTCTCAATCTTCTCGAGACTTCATGTAGTTTATATGTGAATATCAAGAAAGCGATCATGCACTCGCGCAGCTGATACAAAACGGAACTTACTCAGTATGTCTTATCTATTGCATTCCGTCTTGTGAAGCCGTAGAGTCGAACATGATTGAACTGGAACGCATGCGGAGAACGACACTCAGCTGCCACCGTAGCCAAGTAACCTATTCACAGCATCTCGGCTAGAGCATAGGAATTTACAGATATCTACACATCATACGAGCGCTACGGAAGCCCCGCTCTCGTATACAAGGGACCAAGAACGTGCATGCTCTGAGTCTAGACGCGCTTTTGGTGATGAAAACAGCATGATCTTGACTACTACAGCTTGACGTCTTATTCTCAGCCCTTGGTGTCATATCCTACACTTTCCCTCTTGGGAAGATGTTTTCCCAATGTCTAATAACAACGCGGTGCGTTGTCCAGTACCGGCCGTCGTTGCCGAGGGTCGAGTATGTTGTGGGCCAAGATCGAAGCTGAAATTGAGAGACACAAGGATTGCTCTGCCCTCCCTGGCATCATCCCGGCTGAACATCACTCCACCACCCAAAACACCAATCATTCGACATCCAGCTACCAAGAGAAGGGTCCAAGACGAAGATCCTCATTTCTGTTTGAAAACGGTCTAGAACACCCCATGCGGCGCTTGAGCTCCAGAATAATACCTCACATCTGGCGCGATGTCACAACATTCACTTCATCCCATCCGCATCGAGTTCTATGTATGGACATGAGAATTTCGAGTCGAATCTCTCAGGCCATCCCCCGCTCCAAAAGTCCAGGATTGCTGTCAATTGCAAATGTTGACCTTTCCCAGTCCGTCAAATCTTACGCAGTCGGAATGGAGTGAAAGTGCAAAGAAACATCACAAGATATCGTCGGCTGGGCCTCGTTGGCTGCAGAACCATCGAGAGCCGGATACAGACAATTTCTGATTGCTAAGGAAGTTGTCCGCGTTGGGCTGTTGATAAGGGAAAACAAAAATGATCATGTACGGCAACCTATATAGACTGTCGTATCCAAACACATTTTGAGGCCAGTCAGATTCATCAGTCCCCAAGTCTCAACAATCTACCTTATATCGGCTCTTCATTCCTTTGCCCAAACTCCATCTCTTTGATTGCTCTCCTTGCTTCACATCACAATGCAGCCGCAACTCTTGTCCCTTTTCATCGGGCTTGCCCTTGCGGCCCCTCATCTTGGCCCTAGAGACGATGGCTGTGGCGCGATCGTCAGCTCTGCTGTGCCTATTACCGTCACTGTTGTCTCTCCAGTGCAAACAGTTACCTTCAGCACCTACACCGAGACTCCAAGCTCAGATGCCCCTCATACAGCAATCCCTGCCGGCTCTCCCGGCTCTCCCCCGGCGTCTGCCCCTGGAATTTCCGAGATGCCTCATGAAGCCTCCCCGTGGAGCAATAAGACCGCCTTGCCCAAAGAAACCTTCACCGTTACTCTCGGGCTTTCTACCCCGAGCGCGGTCCTCCCCACCGCCTCCGCTACGCCTGGAGTCGCACAGTCAAGGATGGGAGAGCAACCTGCACCTTCGTCGCCGTCGGCATCAACCAACTCTGGAAGCTTCACTGCCAATGCTGCCAGCTCTGCCTCTCAGGACTCCGAAACTCACGGCCATAGTTCATCGCCTCTGGAGACAGCATCCACTGAAGTCGGCGGTGTAGCGCCAACCACCATCACAACCGTGATTCCAATCACGCTGACTTCTCAGAGTGGAAGTGCCCCACAGGAGACAGCTAGTCCTTTGTCGACAATCACTGGAAACGCCTCAGTAAACGCCCCTTCGCAGACGAGTCAGAGTGTGCAATCCCAGACGCCTGTTCAGGTCTCAGCTTCGACTGGATCTCAAGCAGCTTCGTCTCTCTCAGTTACCAAGATATTCCTGGTCTTCATTCTCTTGGCAATAGAAGGATTCTTCATCTGCTAGTCGAGATGAATGTCACTCAAGAGATGTAGATAACATCGAAGGAAGTAGAAGAGAAGAGACAGTTTCGCTGTGAGGGAGTTGTAGGGTTGTAGTAATGGGTAATGGGGGCTAAATATTGCGTGGATGCGTCAGTTTGCTGGTCAGTGGCATGTCGTTGGCCCGAGTCAGAAAGCCGTTGAAGCTTGGGTGAGACATCGGTCTCATTTTGTGGCAGTTTTTCTTCTTTTTGTGGGGTAATTAGCCTGGAATCGTAATCATTAGCACTACCATTCTTAATCTATCTGGCCAGATATTTCCGGTATTCCGACATCCTGACCCTTGTCGAGCTGACTTTGCCATTTTGATACTAAGACATGGAAGCTAGACTAGCCCTTTTGAGCCAAGGGAGTTGCCAATCCCCACGCTGACTCTTGGTATTCTGCTTGCGACAAAAGGATTGGGCAGAACTCGAGATATGAAAAACTTTTTTTCAAGACGAGGGGGTCTGCCAACTGCTTCGCGTGAAGTGCATGAGTCTGTGGTTTGTCGTTGGAGGGTTCATACAAGGCAATTCCAGGAAGGATGGTTCGGGCACTACTTGGATGGCTCTACCACGGTTAAGGAAGACGCTTCGTGTGGTCCCAAAGTTAGCGTCCCGCGGGCTAGAACGCACTGAAGGGCGATGAGCGGATCCCGAAAATAAGGTACGCTAGCAACGAACTACTTTTGTCTAAGTTCTGATCGTCAACATCGCATGAACATGATGTGAACTTCAAAGACTTAAGTGCCTGAGACTGAGGTCAAATAGCTTTGGGTTTCAATCGCGTATTGCGAATATTTGGAACACGGCATCCCTCAATGATTTGATGCACGCAGACGATGGCAACTGCAATGCAACACTTGGTAACCTCTTTGCATCTCAGGCAGACCAATACAAGACGACTTGTGTCCACAATCGCTGTTGGAATATCGACAGAAAAGGGTTCACATGGAAGATGGCCTGGGCTGTTGCAAGCAGCTTCTCTGACACCTATTTCCATCTTCAAGGCAATCATGGACTCCGCCCATTCATTGTTTCTCTCCCATACAAAAGTAAGCAGTTTAGTACCGGATCGTTGAGCTGTGTGCCAGCTGAAAGGCGTTGCCCTGCTGACATGTGTCTCAACAGTCGTCAACCCAGCAACAGTCAAGAGATGATTACATCCAAACATCCCCGACAGCAGCGATAGATTAGTGATGATGGTGATTGCTCGTGTCTGGATTGATTCTCGTGAAGGGCTTCTTTAAGATTTTTGGAGCGATGTGTAAGTGTCTAGGAAATGTTCTGTTATGGATCGTTCGCTACACATGTCTTCTAGTATTTTAGACGTGAGGATGTATTTGCGAGCTATAGCACTCAGCAATAAAAATCACTAGGACTGAGATTGACTCAACGGTCAAGAAGTTCTTTTGACTTGTTTCTCACCTTTTCTATCAATGCGAGACTTGACTCTTCGGTCGCAGATAAGCCTCGGAGTCGAACTTCAGTAAGTGAAAGTGCTGCATGTCATTAGCCATGATTCAGATTGAAGGAGGCTCGCAGGAAACGACGTTTAGGACCAGTGATAGGGATAGTCACTTGTCACCTCAATTCTCAATTGTCTCTCTGCTTCATAGAGACCCTAGAGTTTCCATTCAATATATGCTTCAGGCTTTATGGAGACTTCGCAACTTCTCCAGTATAACGCCATAGCATTAGGCCCTGATTTTAGAATTTCCGATGATACTAGTGTGTAGACTCATGATAATGATAACGTAATGAGATCATGTTGAGTGGTCACATTATATCATAGCAATAGCCATGTCCTGGATGCTCGTGTTCGGTATGACGAATACCTAACCCGAATCACTGCCCAAGGTCAGCAGAGTCATCAATTACAAATGTCCCATTTCATCGCTGATAAGCACTTGGCATAGGTCTCAGAAACTCAAAATCTATTACGGGAGTACGAGGGAAGACCATGATGAGAAGTAAGCTCGCCGTAATAATGCGAGGTCAACCACCATATTTGATTGGTCCTCATATCGGATTAATCCGTTACTAAGCTTCAATATTTGACCTAGGCCAAAACCGTTATTCGAACATTGAAACAAGTCATCGAGATCGAAACAGGTGTGAGAATTGAGATTCCTGATTCCCAGTCTTTCACTCTCTCTTCCCCGAGTTCTCGTGGCGCATGTCATTATTCAGCCCTCAGCCCGCACGAACGCAAACCATCACGACTTGAAATGGCCTCGACTACACAAAAGTCGGCGATTCCATCATCATCGTTAGCTTCCAAGTTCCAGCGATTAAACGGCTCTCGAGCGATTGCGAGAGTCTTGCGATGGAACACGACATGGGCGCTCGCCGAATGCCCTTTCTGCGAGCAACCTCATGAGCATTCAATCAGCTTCTTCCCGAGCGCCGATGAGAGTCTACGCCAGCCTATGTCAAACAGCCCTGACACCTTTCGAGGATTAGAGCCTGCGACCATGTGGTTCTTTGTCGCACCATGCCATACCGCTGGCTACGCATACAGGCTCGTCTTCCCTTTTGAAAAGCACGATGCTGTGAGTTGACTTTCCTGGGAGATCAAGACATCTACTTCCAAAAAGAACGAAGTATCACACTTTCAGTGTTTTGAAACCGTTGTTTTCAGGAAATATGGACTGAACGCTCTGCCTGAGTCCAGCCGTTTGGATCATCGTATCAGCGTGACGGACCGGTCTGAGACCATCGGTGTCAAAGACCACGCTATTCCTTCTGGAAACGAGAGACAATAGAATGGCATTGGGCCAGCCCGGACAAGAGGATCTCTGAAGCTTGATACAAAAGCAAGTGAAAAAGAGGATCGTCGGGGTTGCGTCCACGACTACGCGACTTACCCTCACTTCAACCACGACCTACGCACTGAAGGAACTCTAGGATCTCGAGGCTATCTATAGAAGTAGCTCATGACAGTCGCACAAACGTTCAGGAACTCTTACGATTAGGCGCAGACGTCAATGCAGGTGACAACCGAGGCCGTACACCCCTAATGGAGGCAGCTCTCTGGATCCGCGTCGAATTAGTCGGGATAGTCCTCGCCGCCGGGGCAAATGCGCGACAGAAAGATCGAGACGGGCGTGTCGCTGCAGGCTTTGCCGAGGAGAATGAGAGAAACGACGAAGAGACGGAGTATCGACATGTCGACTACGCGGAGAAACCATTCAAGTCAAAGAGTCGTCGAGGACATATCAGGGCACTTCTAGGAGTTGCGCCTCTTTTACAAGCCCAAGTTGCCAAGTCCGAACTCGCCAATTTGTTCCAACCCCGTTTTGTCAAATCGCCAGTCGCGAAGACTGCTCTTTTGATAAATCCGAGACGAGGCATCCCAATCGCGCAACGGGATCAGACAATAAGGGTTTTCCTCCGAGGCAGACTATTTGAGCCAGTTGTTGCCGTTGGTGGTTGGACTGGTGGCAACGATCACAGCAGGCTGGACTCCAACTACTGGGCTCACAAGACGCTGAGCTTTGCGAAGAGAATTGGGTTAATCTTTGACGAACACGAGTTAGATACTGATTCTGTGAGGGGTTTGTAACACGCCAGTCACGTTGTAGCTCTGTTGCTTTGCTTCGTCGCGCATAAGCATCAGCGGTTTATTGAGAACGAGGATGATCGCGACAGACAGATCAGGCTTGAGATCTTATTCCACTACCAGCACATGGAGACGCTCACTAAAGCGGAGATTGTGACCAGTCAGAAGCCATGTCCCAGTTGCCTGATGTTTATGGAATATCTGGCGAAACGGATGTGGCTAGATTTCGTGGTTGTGGTCGCTGAAGAGATTGTCTTCACATGAGTTGATCAGAATTGGTAATGGTTGAGAAGGAGTATGGTGTAATGGGCCAGTAATTCAGATGCTACCGAGCAGGAATGATAATTTGAGCGGGATGGTGTATCGACTTCGAGTATCCTGGAAGCATCTCAGTTTCGGTTTCGCGGTTGGTCCTTGACAGCAATCATTCATCTTAACGGTCGGCTCTATCGGTTGAGGGGTAGGAAAAGAGCGAAGCGTGACTGACGTGGGTAAAGACCTCCCTAAACCATCAAGATATGAGCACTTTTGTCGGGAGATCCGAAGATTGAATTGATACCCATTTATCAGATCCACGTTTTTCATCGTACCAACTCGGGAAGTGGGTAGAGTGTGATCACTGATGTGATCAGAGATGTTCTCGATATTAGTTCCGGCCCGTCTCTCGCTTCAACCCCACCTCCCACACTCCGCCGGGCTTGGCTGGGCTGAAGATCGGCGCGTCAAGCTTCAACCTTTGCCGCCCCCAAGGACCAACGACTCTTCTCGAATCCTGAACCTGGGGAAAGCAAAGGTCGCCGAGGACGTGTTTAGACATGTGGACTCAGAAAAGTCAAAATCGAGTTAAAGGGGACGGTAAGTTCCTTGCGCTAGAGCCCAGGGATGGCGAAGCCGCGCAGGCGATTCATGAACATGAGCCACACTAAGAGTTCATCCCACTAATAAGGCCCTCTCGGTGGGGCTATTGCGAGCCAAATCGGCCAATTGTGCATTTGTTTAACCTTCTAAAAACAAACCTCGCAGACCCAAAGATTTTCCCCACGACGCTTGTTTGTCGAAATGACCCTTAATGTTGGGTTTCCCGAGGGGCTGGCATGACGATTTGCAAATGAGGCTCAGATGTGGACAACGTCACCCGGCTCGGAGGACGCGTCCTTCTTACCGGTTAGCACGGCGATCACCGTCTTGGTGAAAAGTCCGATCGAAAAAGGGAGTTGAAGTTGGAGGCTTTCTGTTATATAAACAGCCCGCAATGTCAGCCCTGAAATGTAGAGATTCTTGAGGAGCATCGCAAACCAACAACACATCCCGATCGCTGCTCACCTTCGCTTCAAAGCTTGAAACCAAGATGAAGTTCACAAACTCCTGCCTGCTGATGGCAGCTTCGGCCGCGGCCCAGACTACCGCCCCAGCCCCGACAGCAACCTCCGGCTCCGGATCCCTCCCGTCCGTGACCCTCGACTACTGTACCGTCGTCGCCACCGCCGGCAACGAGTCCGTCGGCTACTACAAGTACCAAAACATCCGCTACGCCGCCGTTCCCACCGGCGACCTTCGATGGGCCAAGCCCCAAGCGCCTCCCGTCGAGACGGAAGTCAACACTGGTGACCTGGCCTCGGCCGATGTCGCCTGCAGCTCCGCCGAGGACTGCCTTTACGTCGATGTCTGGGCTCCCGCCGATGCTGCGGGCAAGAACCTCCCCGTGATGGTGTGGACCTACGGTGGTGGCTTCACTGGCGGAAGCAAGTCTGAGAACACTCCGGAGGGTCTCTTTGACCTTTCCACCGACTTCGTCTACGTCGCGTACAACTATCGCCTCGGTATGACTGGCCTTGCCAATGGCCCTACCTTCTTGCACGAGGGTGGTACCTCCAACACCGCCATCTGGGACGTCACTGCCGCTTTCGAGTGGACCAAGAAGTACATTAGCAACTTTGGCGGTAACCCCGACGATGTCACCGCCGTGGGCTTCTCTGCCGGTGGCTCCCAGACTCTCTTCCAGATGACTGTAAGTACTCGTCTTCAACTAACCTTTAGGCATCTAAGCTGACCCCCTTGAAGCGCTTCGCTGGCCACGCCGAACAGCTCTACAATCGCGCCTACGTCATGTCCCCCGGCTTCGTCCCCGGCGCCGGCCACCAGCACGCCGAAGCCTTCTGGCAAAACGTCTCCACCGAGGCCGGCTGCTCCGGCGGCAGCCTCGAGTGCATGCGCTCCATCGACTTTGATACCCTCAACACGGCCGCCACCACGGTCCAGGACGCCTACGACTACCAGTTCCAGCCCCGTGTCGACGGCGACATCATCGCCGACACCTATGAGGCCCAGTTCTACCAGCGCCGCTTCAACTTCTCCGGCCCCGTCGTCATCACCCACGAGCAGCACGAGGCCAACGGCCAGGCCTACGACGGCGTGAACACCACAGAGGATGTCGCTGCTTATCTCCGCATCTTCTTCCCCGCCATCAACGATGCCGTTGTCGACGAGATCCTGTCGCTTTACCCCGAAGATGACTACACCTCCCCTGGTCTGCGCTTCTCCGACATGAAGCAGCACTTTGATCTGACTGCCCATAACCTGGCTCTGACCCACGCCATGAACAACCAGACCTGGAACGCAATGGTTGCGCTTGACCAGGCCACTCACGGCACTGACCAGAGCTACTACTGTAAGCTTATTTCTCCTCTTATTCTACGTGTCACATATCATCTAACACATAAAACAGGGTACAGCACCTACTCCCTCTCCGACTCCACCTCCAGCACCGGCACCACCACGTCCAACTCCACCACCTCTAACTCAACCGCTACCTCCGCCGCCGCTTCGGCAACCGCTTCCTCTAGCGCAGGTGGCCCTCCCTCCGGTGGTGCCGGCGGACCTGGCGGTGGCTCCAGCTCCGTCAATGCCACTGTCGCCGTCATGATGCAGAAGTACCTCATGTCTTTCGTCCTGACCGGCAACCCCAACACCATGTGGCCCGAGGACAAGATTGAGTGGCCCCAGTACGGCAACAGCTCTGCTGCCGGCACCCAGCTCGTCTTCAACACCACCTTTTACCTTGAGGAGGATGACCTGGCGAATGCCCAGGCCAAGTTCTGGAATAAGGCTCTGTGGTACTAAGTGCGATGATGTTATTGATACCCCCTAGTCATAGGACCTTCCGTTGTATGTATTCTTAAACAAGTAAATAAGCAAAGTAACAGAGGGATACTCTCCTTTTAAGGCCATACGTGAGAATGAACATCGCATTGGGTGATTTGGATTTATTGGCGGAACTCATATCAAAAGCCTTGTATGACCGAGGTAGTCTCCGGGATTGAAGAAACTTGTCCTTCCAACGTACAGATACCAGCTTAACAGCCAAGTGGTGGGATGACGCACTGGATAGGAGTCTTCGCGGCGCATTAATACCACCAAGTGAGGTCACTATTTGGCTACCTCGTGAGGATTGTGAGGGGTCTGATCTCCCATCAAATAAGCAAAGCAAACAACAATTTGAACTCGTGAAACCGCCCCTCATTGACTTGGTAAATTCCTTGTTGCTACGCCGCTCGCCTAAACTGTGCCTCAATCTTTATGAGGCCACGGCTCATGCGGCCTCAAACAGGCGCAGCTCTCAAATCTCAACCGCCGCTTTCCCAGCCGAGAAGCGCTGCGCAAACAACCCAGCCCGTTTGACATAAAGGAGGTAAATAGAACAACCTGCAGCACCAAGACGGCGTGGCGCATCGCGCTATGCATGAACAGTGGGGGCAACGACCACTCCGCGTTTCTCTGTTGGTTCTCGTCGTTGTTGGTGACGGAAACGCAGAGCTGCACTCAGCCCCCCTTGCATTTTCGCATGGGTTTCCTTCACGATGTAACCCTGCTAACCACCATCAAGAAGATGGGCGAGCATAAATCTAGGCTAATAGACGCCGTCCGCAACCTTACCCGTGGAAGATGGCCTCTTCCCGTGCCTGAATGCAACCCTTTCTCATCATTAGACTTTCGTTCATCACATCATAGTAGCGGGAAATAGGGTGCCAAGCGTCTTTGAGCTGGCGACATGCTGTTCGCAATGGGACATGGGGGCCGCAATATAATCCTGACAGCATGTTTGCTAACCGCCAAGATGGGGCCAAACGGACAGAGTACAAAGGAGAGGATATGCCTGGGGTTCATAAAGAGAGCATGTCAGGGGACAGATGAGGAGGGGATCGAGGGGCCCTCTTGAACCTCTCTGCTCTCATCAATCATCTCTGCTGCATTTTTCAAGATGATTGTCCCTCGAAGAAGACAACCATGCTTCATCTTCTGGGCTGTGCCCGTGTTATTGCTTCTGTGCATCTTCTGGCAGAGTGACTCTAGACTGCCAACCCTACCATCGATATCTTCGTTATCGCAAACGTCACTCCCTCCTAAGCCAGTCCAATGGCAGACAGAAGATGACAAACACTACTTCTGGAGGACGAGAAAGGTCAACTACCCAGCCCCGACTCCCCTACGACAACTCCCAACATGCCCCCACGTCCGCTTCCCCCAAGTTCAGGCCCATTTCCCACCCGAGACCGGTACCCAACGCCGCGTCCGCGGAGAACGCCAGCAAGCCGTCAAGAAAGCTTTTGCCAAAGCATGGGAATCCTACCGCGACAACGCATGGATGTACGACGAACTCACTCCCGTCTCCGGGAAAGGCCGCAACACGTTCGGAGGCTGGGCCGCGACCCTCGTGGACTCCCTCGACACCCTCTGGATCATGGACATGAAGTCCGACTTCGACGAGGCTGTCGCCGCCGCGGCGACAATCGACTTTACACACACCGACCTGGACGAAATCAACGTCTTTGAGACAACCATCCGATACCTGGGCGGCTTCCTCTCGGCCTTTGATCTGTCAGGCGACGTTCGCCTCCTCCGAAAAGCAGCTGAGGTCGGCGAGATGCTCTACAAGGCCTTTGACACGCCCAACCGTATGCCCATCACCCGCTGGAAAGTCGGCGATGCAGCCCGCGGTGACGCCCAGGACGTCGGGAATGGCGCTCTGGTAGCTGAGATCGGGAGTCTCTCAATGGAATTCACCCGCCTCTCATTACTAACAGGCGACCCCAAATTCTGGGACGCAACTCAACGGATTATGGAAATCTTCGAACGCCAAGAAAACAAAACCAACATCCCCGGTCTCTGGCCTCTAGTCGTGAACCCCAAAGACGAAGTCTTCAACCAAGGGGACGACTTCACCCTCGGCGCCATGGCCGATTCCCTCTACGAATACCTCCCCAAAATGTCCGCTCTCGTAGGCGGACGCAGCGGGATGTACAAATCCATGTACGAAGCCGCCGTGAAGCCCGCCATCGAACATAACCTCTTCCGGCCCATGACGCCGACCAACGAAGATATCCTCATCGCGGGGCAGGCGCACTCTCGCGAATCCAACGGTGTACGTACTATTGAACAGGAGCCGCAGGGCCAGCACCTTGTTTGCTTCATGGGTGGGCTTCTTGCGCTTGGTGGGAAGCTATTCAACCACCCCGACGAAGTGTCTGTGGCGAGGAAACTTGTCGACGGGTGTGTGTACGCTTACAAGTCTTTCCCGCATGGCATCATGCCGGAGACGTTTTACATGGTCCCCTGCCCCTCCAAGCAAGAATGCGCATGGGACGAAGCCCTCTACAAAAAGCACGTCCTCGAACGGGCAGAGAGAAAGGACGACGACGAGGTTCTCACCGCAGACGAAATCATCAAAAAGGACCGCCTTGTTCCAGGATTCTCTGCCGTTCCGGACCGGCGCTATATTCTCCGCCCCGAGGCAATTGAAAGTGTGTTCATCATGTACCGCACCACAGCCGACACGAGCTTGTTAGACTCGGCGTGGGACATGTTTTCGTCCATTGACAACGTCACGAGTACGGAACTTGCCAATACGGCAGTGTGGGATGTCACGGCCGAGGGACGGCCTCCGCAGTCGGACTCGATGGAGTCGTTCTGGATGGGGGAGACGTTGAAGTACTTTTATCTCATCTTTAGCGAGCCTGGGTTGGTGAGTTTGGATGAGTTTGTGTTCAATACCGAAGCACATCCTTTCAGACGATGGAAGTGAGGTGGTGTAAACGTTGTTGTATATATCACATGTATAAATATCATGGCCGGATTATGAACAACTGAAGTGCTTCACTTCCTCGATATCTTGTTTGATCCCCTCAAGCAAGCATCCCTCAAAACCTCCCTCAAAGTTCCTCCTTCTCCTCGATCACCTCAATCTTCTCTCCGGGCTTTACACAAACCCAAGTCTTCCCATTCCAAACCCCTTCCTCTGGATAAAGACAAATCCTTCTAACCTCCTCATCAACAACCACCTTCCCATCCTCTCCAATCTTGAACCCCCTCGCATCCAACTGCCCCGGCGCAACACCCCTCTCGACCCACGCCCTTAACTTCTCCAACGCACTCCAGGGAAACGGCGCTCCATACATCGAAACGCAGTGATTCACCCCAGGAACCTCAAAATACCTCCAAAACTCCTCAATCTCAACTCCGCGCTTCGCCTCGATCCCCTTGGCCTTCTCATACAGTCCCCTTCCGACCTTGATAGAGATAGCCTGGTCCGCCATACCGTGCCACATGAGAACCTTTCCCCCGCGCTCCCTGAATCTTCTCATGTCCGGGATGGGCGTCCCGATGACGGAATCGTACTCCTCGACTCCCCGCCGGAATACGTCCCGGAAAGTCTCCCTCGATATCGAAGTCGGGTCAAACGCGGAATCCTTCTCGATGAACAGCCGGATCCATTCATCCGTCACGGAGAACGGCACACCTACACACCTTGTTCGATCCGTCTCGTCCTCACATACACTATTCATCATAGCAAGCAACCCAGCAAACTGTGTCCCAGGAACATAACTCGGAAACATCTCCCTCCCCTCCTCATCCAGCACACCCCCAACAACCTCCTCAACAACCTCAACCGCCCCCCTCGAAACCCTCCCCTCAATCTTCTTCCCATCCTTCCCATCACAACTAAACTCCCTCCCCTCCGCCGTCCTCACATCAAACCCACACTCCCCCAAGCGTCCGATAACCCCATCCCTCCTCCCATCACCCAAATCACACGCCTCAACCCCAGCCTTCACAATCGCCCCCAACTCACACCCAGAAGGCCAATACCCCCTCCACCGCATAACCAACTGCGGGAAATACAGCGACGTCACCATAGCAGGGAACTCCACGGCCGGACACATACTCAACACCCCGTCAAAGTCCCGCGGATACCGCTGCGCAACAGCCAGCCCCTGCCTCCCGCCCGTCGAACACCCCTTGAAGTAGCTATACCTCTCCTCAGCATCATAATACGCCCCCAGCACGGCCTTCCCCACGACAGCGAGCTCGTGAAGACTCCGATATCCAAAGTTGACTAGCAAAGGCCAATCAATATTCCCCGGACTTCGCAAAGCCCAGACGTCAGGCGGCGAACTCGCGAGGTGTCCGCCGTCCGTGACGGCAGCAACATACCCTTCTTGAATCGCCGCACTCGGTCCATCGCCATCTACCTCCCCGACAACGAACCCGCCGCCACCTAACCCCATGAACCGCTCATTCCACGCGCTCTTCTCGAGGGGAAGCCAGACGTGTATGTTGACGAGGTCATCGTGGCCTGGGTGGGTGTAGGAGACTGTGACGTTGCAGAAGGGGGGGATGCCGGTCGTGGAGGCGGATGTTGTCGCGAGGGACGCTTCAGAGAGGCGGTTTGGAAAGGAGGTGTAGTTGTGGACTGGGACGGCTGTTGTTTTGATGTGTTGGAGGCCTGGGATGGAGGGGAATGTGAAGGTTGAAGGGTCGCATTTTGGGGATGTGGATGCCGAGGTTGAGCTTGTGAGGGCGGCGAGGGTGAGGAGTGTCGTCCCGAGGAGGCCTGGGGAATTCGGTGGTTTAGAAAACATGATGTGCTCAAAGTGTATCAGTGTTGTCGTTGAACGAAGATGAAGTGTCCTACAAAGGGGGGGTAAGACTAGTTTCCGTACTTCTTAACAGACAGAACCAGAGGACACTACCCGGTGAGTCGGTAATAAATACTCATCCCATCCCTCAACCCCGTTCGTCTCTTGTAACATTGTGGATACCAAAGTGTCAAGCAAACGACTCCGTTCTCCAGGCTACAAGTCTTCGACTCTTCCCCGCCCTCCTCTTCTTCCCCCGCGTTGTTACCGGGCTCAAACTGGGGAACTACCAGTAACCGCTCCGCCCGACTCCCGGATATCTCGAAACAGATCATCGGACGAATCCCCTCAAAGCAAAAGGAGCTCGTGTCCTATATCTGGCCTCGTCGGCGACGTGGAAAACCTACCCGAAAATAACGTGCAGTCGTCGATTGCCAACACTTAATCTTTTCCTTGTAACTTACTTACCTACTCAGTTTGTATACTACTGAAAGAAAACCAAGAACAACGTCCAAAGTTCGCTCAAACTCCTCATCCGACGTGCCAATGATACCCCACGGACTCCCGGGGCCCGTCGAAACCCCGAACCTCAAAAGACACAGAAGTAATCAGAAAACAGCTCCAGTAACCCTATACAGGCGGGGGAGTGAGAAAGCGTTCATACCGGCATAGAACCGGCATTTCCCAGCCCCGGTCCCTCAGATCCACTTCCCAACGGCCTGACCGCTGAAGAAAAAACTCGGCAGACACGATCGGCATTCCCCCGAACGAGCCGGGTTGCGACATATCCGCATTCCGTCCGTACACGGCCAACTTCAAAGACCATCCGTCATTACTCCCCTAATCAAAGTGTGAACCCGGCGCAAATCCATCAATCCTGCCCCCCCCGCGTCTCCCAATCTCTTGATCGCCGTCACTGAACTTGCTTCATTGGCTGGCGGCTGACAGACAAGCTGCAGCACCGCTTACATGAACCACATCATCGTGCATAAAAAGGCTGGCCGTCCCTCGCCCTACTTTAGTACGCTTCCCCTCATCACAAGCAAATTCATGGGCCACATCATTCACCAGGAGAGAGAGTGAACAGTTTCCAGATAAGATAATCATTGAGAGCATGTGCGTCGTTATTCCTTCCGGTTGTACGCCTACAGACACATGTATACCGCCCGATCCTTGGTGATGGTCTTGAAACCATCGCTTCCAACTTTGTGAGCATCGACCAGGCTTCCCATAAAGCAAAGCCGCCAGTCGTTACCAAGCTCGGGTATCTCGTCCACACGCATATCCGCCAACATTTGCCTCCGTTCCTTGGCCTGCTTCCATATACATGCGTGCAGGCCCACTGTCCGTCTGTCTCAACCGCCGAGAGAGCGACACATTACTATCCACCACTGAATCCATCATCCCGGAATGAGTGGGTATCTCATTGATCGTGAGCAAGCGTTACGGGGAATCAAAAACAAAGATAAGGAAATTCTACTTGCGAAATCGCTGCGAGAAAAGAAAAAAACCGTCAATGGTGAACCAAACCTGATGGCAAACTGAAAAGGAAACCGTAAATGTCGAAGCAGGATATCGAAATGAAAAGGGAAAATGAATAGAAAGAGAAAGTGGAAAAGTCGACCGTAATCCAGATGAGCTGAGATGAGGGTGGTGACACCCAGAGAGATAGGAAATCAATTTCAACGCTATGTATCAACGCCTGCCATAGATAAAATGCAGTTGCCCACCAACTTGATAGAAAACGGGATATCATGATAAGAAAGCGACTGTATGTCATGCAAAGACTGAAAGCTTTGCCGACATAGATTCCAAGTAAGGGAGAAGGAAATTCGTCAGTCGTGTTGCGTATATGTACCATCGCCTCTCGGGGCATGGTAAAAGGACTGTAAAGAGGCGCATTGATGATTCACAAGAGTCTCAGTACGCAGTGGCAGTGGTTCCCTCGCTCGTGGCAACGGCCACCAGCGCCTCCAAACGTCTCAGAGGGTCAGGATTACCGGGCGGTTGCTGCTGGGCTTGCTGCGGCTCAGGCTGTCGTCCCGGAAAACCAGCAAAGTGACCCATATTGGGATGGACCATGCGGTTGACATGGGGTCCACGAGGATCTTGGCTGGGCGCTTCCGGGCGAGGTCCGTGAACGTTGCTTCCCATAGGACCATGGTACCATCCGTGGCGTTTAGTGTCCCTGTGTGCAAACGACGGCGCCGACATCGTGTGCTGATGATTGCGAGTGAATGCACCCGAGTTGGCATACGAGGGCTGGTCGACCTCGAATCGCACAGTCGGCGGGTTCAAGCGAACCTGCTCTGCTTGTGCCTGCACTGCCTGGTTCACTTCGTTTGCCCACGCCCCGGCGCTATCGCGAGGAGGTGTCGTGTTGGAGGCAATGTCCAGTCTTGTCAGGCCCCGGTGCAAGCTCATATCCCATTGGGCCACATTCCGCCGTTCATCAGCGACAGCTTCGGTGCCGGGAAGCATGGGCCGGCGGTGACCGCCCTCCGCATCGACCATCATCGGCGACGGGATTCGTCTTGGGGGCGACACCTGTCTCGATGGCAGAGGGTCAAAGGATTCAATGCCAGGCAACCGAAGCGTCTGCTGAGGATTGGGCGCATTGGCGATGGGCGGCGCGGGATTCGGCTGAAGTTGACCGGGAGTGAGTACGTTGCTGAGGTGGCTGGTATTGGTGTTGAAGGTCCTCGTGTCAGGATGCCAAGTTCGCCTGCGCCAAGCCTCGTCTGCGTTAGACGAGGTCGAGTCCCTCCTGCCAGACCATGCTGATGTCGGCGTTGTCGGCGATGCCAGGTGGCTGCTGGGGGCGGGGGAGAAGGCTCCCATATTGGAAGTATTGACAGGCCCATTGCCGTAGACAATTCTGTTGACCGGTGCGCCGTGCGGTGACTGAAAAGGATTGACGCCGGAGGGCACGCTGAGTCGCCGGCCCGGAGTCCGGGAGCCAGAAGAGTACATGCTGTGAGATCGGGAGTGCGTGGTAGTAGGAGAAGCGATTGCCGAACCCCATCGCGGACTGCTTTGACCGGTAGAGAAGGTGGCTGACGTCGGTGTGCTGTAGTCAGTTGGCGAGACAGGGCGATAGCCGTATGGACCGTCTCCGGCACTTCGGTACGATTCGAGTGACAGGCGGGAGCGGGGGTCGCTTGCCATAACGAGAGGCGGCGGGCGTCGTCGAATATCGTCTCGAGATCCAAAAGCTGACCCGATAGAGCCCACGCTGGCGATGCTGGATGTCGAGAGCGACTTGGAGTGACCCCTGACGGGACCAGGCGCGCTGCCAGCTGTTGATGCGCGAGCCCTGCCCCCCTGCTGACGCACACGCTCAGTGCGCATCTGCCTCTGGAACCTAGCACCAGTCGCTGCTAAGGAATCTATGGGGATATCCTCGTTGACGTGCACCGTCTGTGCGTGTTGTCGCAGGTTATCGAGACGGGAGAAACGGCGCGAGCAGTGACACTGGAATGGTCTCTCGCCGGTGTGTTTCCTGGGACGATTAGCAAAGATCGTCATCTATGGGGACGATAGAGAGCCTACCGAATGTGCCTGGCCAAATGTTCGCTTCGGGTAAAACTCAAGTTGCAGGGCGGGTAATCCGTGCAATAAAATCGCTGTGACTTCTTCTTCTTGTTGGATCTGGTACCATCGGCATTCACACTGTCGTCGTCAGATCCCTCTTCACCTTCGCCGTCGGACTCGTCCATGTCCACATCCTCCGAGTCCCTTGATCTCCTTGAGTGTTGTGAGTTTGCTCTTGTCGGGGTCTTGACCTTCTCGGCACTCTCGGGAACCTGAACAGCCTGGGGAAATGGCGAGCTTGGCAAAGGCTTCTGGGATGCCAGACCAGTAGTGCCACTGCCACTGCTGAAAGTTGCTTTCGTGGGCGTCTTCACGTCCTCGGCCATCGGCTGTGGTGTCCGCGGGAGCGGTGCAGTGGTTGGCTTCGGTGTGGTTGGTGACGTCGTCATCATCTTGTCGTCCATCTTTACATCGGCACCAGGTAATGGCGAATTTACTGGTCTAAATGCAGCGGCCATGTTCAAACTGTGCTGTGATTCAGGATAAGCGGGCGTCGAGGAGGACAGCCTGGTGAATTCCTCTCGCTGTGGAGGAGAAAGTGCAGACGCAGGCTCGCGAGGCCGAGTCGAGCACAAAAGGAACACAGGTGCGGGGAGTGCAGGCTGCGGAAGGTAGTATTTGAGTATGATTTGAGCCGGGAGGAGAGCGGGCTGAAGAAGGGCGGGGAAAGGGCGGAATGAGAGGGGGTAAAGGGAAGAAGAAAGAAGAAAAAATGTCCCGAATCTGAATCAAGTCATCCGAGAAGTTGCTGTCTGGTTTCGAACTCTTTGGATGTCTCTCCGTTCCAAGTATGCGTAGAGGAAGAGGAGGAAGAGGTGATGGTGGTGGTGGCGGCGGCAGCAACGGGCTTTGAAAGGGCGACAAAGGTGTCGTGAGCCGGATGTGTGTAGAGATGAGAGTCGTGGAGCGCCGATGGAAGTGCGACCGACGTCGATGATCTATTCCCCCCGGGCCTGGGAGAGTGGGGTGGTCTGCTGGAACAAGGTGCAAGGCCGGTTTGGTAGCGGTAGCGCGGTTGAGGACGGATACCGACTGCGTATTTCGTAGTATAACGGAGCAGAGTGGAGGACGAAGAGAAGAGAGACAAGTTGGTACGGAGACAGCAAGGCGAGGGGCAGGCGGCTCTAGAAAAGGACCTGCCAGGGGAGTGTGGCGATGAATGGTCGATGATGAAAGACGTGCCCTGATCTGACCCTGCTGGCTGCAGTAAAGTGGTTCTCAGTGGTTCCTCGCTGACTTTTCTTCCCCCTGCCTCCGGCTTTACGCCTGCTTGCGTTCGTTCGAGTCTAGCGACAGGTAGTGTCGAGAGCTGGGCGGAGTTTGTCTAAGATGGGTTGGAGGAGCCAACCAACCAGCCTCCTCTTGGGGGTGTGCGTCGTGTGCGTCTTGGGGGATCCGGCGCACCAAGTCGGCGAATTTGGGTGGGAGTGTCTGTGGGCTATCGCAGAACCAATGTAGTCCGGTCCAATGCCAATCAAGATCCGAGTTGACGGGTTTGCAAGCTGGGTGCCCTGCGTTTTAGTAGACGATTTCGTAGGTTGCTGACTTGCAGTATCCGTATAGACCGAATATCAGCTCAAGTACCGAGCGTTATAGAGCAGGCTGTGATGGTCCTGATTCTTGGAGGGAGCGGGCTGAAAGGCACAAAAGAGTCTTCTTTGGCGATATGTTAAATGTCAAAGCCCAGGCAATTCTCTGTGCACCGGAACTTGCTGGGAACGATAGAGAGGGGGAGAAAGGAATAAAGCATATGGTCTGCAGTGAGGGCGAGGGAGGATTCGTAAGTAGTTGATGATGGTCACAGCACACGGAAGCGCTGGCGGTACTCGTGTACGAGAAAGAGTTGGTGGACCCAAGGCAGGCCAGGTCCAGGGCCAGGGCCGGACGCCAGGGTCAGGGTCAGAACCAGGACCTGGCGGCGGTAGTGGTATTGGTGGAGTCGATTGGCGGGAGGTACAAGGGGTACATGAAAGTCAGACGGCTTGGTGTGAGATCCCAGTCAGCCGGGCGGTTGGGAGGGGGTCAAGGTCGAGGTCGAGGTCGATGTCCCAGGACTAGGACGGACTAGAGACGGACGGGAGGCGAGAGTGGCCGGAACGGTGGGAAATGGGGCTTGCTCATCCGTCTGCGGGCGGGAAAACGCCTTGAGTAAACTGGCAGTCGATGGTCTCTGACGGGCGCGTGAGAAACGGAGGACAGTGTCGAGCGAGGTGTAGGCGACGGCCAGCCCAAGTCGCTAAGGTAGCGGGGCACGAGAAGCGACGAGGCGTCTGCGAGAGGGAGGAGAACGTGGTGACTCCAGCGCCGGGCCACCACCAGGGCGAGGGGGCACACGGGGAGGTTGGTTGGCGGAGTTGCTGTGACGGCGTGGCCAGTGCCAGACAGGGCAGTGGGCCAGACGTAAGGTACCGATTATGGCTGGCTGGCTGGCTGTCTTGATCGAGTGCAGGCACACAAGCAGAGACGGGAGACGCAATGCGAATGCTGGTCTTGGAAAAAATTGTCCGTGGGTTCGAGGGTTTGCCAGGAACAAAGGATGAAAGGTCGAGGCACCGCAGGGGATTGGTGGCCAGGTTGGGAACTCGGAGGGGTTTGTTGACGGGTGCGAGTTGCGAGGTTGACGAGGTCAAAGTCAAAAAGGACGGCGGCCAAGCCAGTCTGTGAGGTAAGGGACCTGGCCCGAGGTTGCGATGCGCCGATGTAATACTCCGTATTTGGAGTTTGATACCGCCGTTGTTGGTGGTGATGCTTTTGCTGGTGCTGGTGGATGATACGCCAGGCAGTGGATTCCCGTCCTGTGGATTACGCTGTAGCGTAGCCGTACAGCAAGGTACCGTACCGTCGAGAACCTTGCCCTGCCTGTGCTGTTGGCAGCTGGACCTTTTGACTTTGGCGGCGTTTTCCTTGTCGATGCGCTGTGCTGCTACCCTACGCAGGGGTAGGCGGTAGAGTAGGCGGGGACAAAGTTGGACGGATACGGACGCAAAAGGGATAAACGGCAGGATGCATTCGGTGCCACGATGGGCGGGTACGTGGATGCGTGAATGCTTGGCCTCCGAGGCACGGCTACTTGGTGTATGGAGTAGAATGTAGGTCTTCGACTAGGGTGGTGTGGTGCTGTATCGGTAATAGTGTCGTGTATAGAAGGTATCCGTAGAAAGTGGTCTTGAAAGATGTGGATGCGACAACGAGCGGTGGGAGGTTGGTAACGGAAGCTGAAAAGTGTCACTGGGCGAGATATCATGGATATCCGTGTAAGAGTGTCAAATGTGATGGACGGTACGGAGTATTGATGATGTTGTAAAAAGTGTGCGTGCCGGCGGTCGGGATTGGGGGGCTCGGCTCGGCGTCGTCAATGTGTTGGTTGGGTGTGTATTTCTTCCAGCGGTAAGCTGGTAATAATGGATGACTCGATATGTCGATGGATGGAGAGAGAGCAATTAAGGTAAGGCAACGTAAGTATCCAAGAATCCCTCAAGTAGAGAGGGTCGAGTCTGGAAGAGATGATGTGCTGTGCCTGTGTGTGGCTTTCCACGGTGGAGGTGGAGGGATGAGTGAGGGGAGCCATGGGCAAATTGACCGGGCGGCGGCGAGGGAGGGGCGGCGATAAGGATAAGCGGATAAGGCGATAAGGTAGGTACAAGCCAAGGCCCTGTGATGCGACAAATGGAAGGCACAGCCCGAACTTTGCGCGGGCTGACGACGGGCAGGAACTCAAGAAGGCACAACCAAACTTACAAGGTTCATATGGGCAGGGACGAGGTCACGTTCTGCCCGTGTACGCAGTACGTAGTAAGGTAGTTCAGTGAAAAGTCAGTTTGGTCAGGTCCAGGTCAGGTACGGACGGCACGGCAGCAACAAACAGGGAAGGATGACTCTGGCAATGACATGCAGCCTCGATCCATCCGCGCCTTCCACAATGCGCAGTCATAGGTATGTACTCTGTAAAAGTGTCTCACCAATACGTATAGTGTAGTAGGTATAAGGCACCCGTACCTCTCTCCGTTTACATCACGCAGAAAACAGTCAGGAACAAGACGAAAAGGTAGTTTTACTTGAGGCAGCCACTTGCTGTACTCCGTACCTGAGGCACTTTACGGTTTACCCGACCTGACCTGCCTTACTTCCGTGCCTTAGCTGATGCACCAAGACGGGTCCAACACGATGTTCCTGAAGAAGGCACGCCGCAAGCCGCGCGCCGCACGTTGGGACCAGGTGCGGTGCCTGGCCCTGACTCCAATGTTCCTTCCTCACGGTAAGGTACGGAGTACGTACGTGGAAAAATGAGTGGTCGGTGCAGATGGTCAACGCAGGAAGGAGGCAGACAGGAGAAGGAGACGGAATTGGAAACAAGAGGCGCCTTCCCAGCCTGGCCGGACTTGAAAATCCATCACACCCGTTCCGTTGCGCTTACCTGACTGACCCGGAGTCCATTGTCTAAGGTGTCGGCGGTCGCAACTCACAAGTTCCCTTTTCGACGGCGGGATGATGTGTCGCATGTACCCCTTGGCCGTGTCTGCCATGAGAAAAGTACACGGACTGTGCCCCTCACCCCTCCCCCTCCCCCTCCATCACCCCGCCCCTCTTCTTTTTTTTTCCCCTGCTGCACCATGCGAGGGGTTGGGTGCGCCCTGAGTGGCCGCCTTCTCTTTTTTCTCTCTCTCTTCTCAGGTAAGCACCTCAACTTTTGTTCGCACCTTCGCTTCCTCAGGTCTTAATAGCCACCACTAACAGCCTAGCGTCGCCTTAGCCCAGGCACCTCAGAGTGGGGACCAGGTGTTGGCGTCTGGCGTCTGTGACCTTCAACTCTCAACTCTTTCCTCTCCCACCAGTGCCACCCCCGTCTCCCGTGCCTGTCCCTGGCCGTGGCCCTGTCAACGTCTTTCAGGCTTCCCAAAGCCCAGGGCAGGGGCCTTCCTTTCTATAAAAAGCCATGGCCAAGAGGGGAAAGACTCACGGGGCCTGTGCGCTCAGTCCGTCGCCCGTCACCCGCCAAGCGAGAATCCACCCCGCAATCGAGGCGCCGCCCTTCCGTCTTCAACCTGAGGTGGACCTGGAAGGCGCGATGTGCTGAGGCTTCTTGGCAGAGACACATATCCCTTGGTACCGATATACGCCTGACATATATGCCTTTCTACAAGGCTCACAAGGCTTGCGATGCTTAATCGAGGATATATGTGCGTCGCTATGTGTCTCGTCAAGTATCCGGACGATAAGCAAAACCACTTAGTCAACCACGTCAAGGTAACAGGTGTAGTGGTAGAGCGGAACCCCTCATTCCAGGTAAACGAGCCGCGAACGACGACACGGACCAAGACGGACGATTTTCTCAACGAGAGACCGGGACAGCACGGCGTGCCGGAGGCGACAACCAGGCATGTGCCAGTCCTCAACCCCGGCCCATTCGACCTTAATGCGTTTCCTCCCTTCCGTCGCTTCCGTTTCGCAGACATCAGCTAAGGTGAGGTACACGGGTGCAGATGCAGATAGTGGCTGTTCCGTCTTAGGTCGACTTCTGTGTTAAAGATGGTATCTTGCCGAACCGTAGGTCGCATGATGATAGACACAAGCCACGGGAAGCATATTGATTAAATGTGTCTGGCCGAGTAATGTCACCGGGCGAGAATGTGCATCTTATTCGTGCCGTCGTGGCGCACCACACGTGTCTACCTTACCTTCGTACCTTGTTTCTTGGACCTGCCTTACCTCGACTAAGCCAAGGTACTACTTTTCAATATCTTACGACACTCCATTTGTGGTACCTGTTGATACGTTCTTCTCAGTCCTGCCTCGCGTCCCTCACAAGTACCCTCGTCCATGTTCTCCCGCCGGCGATCGACTGTTGAAGAAGGTCCCGGCTAAGGAGGAGCCAGCTACGGGGCACTCTGAGCTTGTGCCTGCCTTACCTTTTCATCATAAGGCCGGCACGACGGGAACGTGACATGGCAGATCAGGAACAGGAACAGGCAGGCGATGCCAGAACTGAGTGGGGCCGGACTCCACGAGTCTGATCAATGGAGATGAAGGACCAGGCACGGTCACTCAGCGCCGGGAATGAACCGACATCGTCGCTTCCACTGCTGGTGTTTCTTTCTTGCCCGACGTAAATTGTTGCTCATCAAGGTGCTGCATCTGTCTCTGTTTGGTTCCATTTCCATCTTGCATTTTCCACCTTATGTAAGGTAAGGTACCCGAATGTACTTTATTCCAAGGGAAGGTAATCACCCAGTCATCCAAATTCTCCAGCAGTTTGGACTCTCCCTTTTCGTCTCAGACTGACAGCCGAGAATTCCGCATGCCCGGCCGTTGCCCACGTTGTCTCCTTCCCTGTTGTGTCCTCTCCTCCGTACCTCCGTACCGCCCGCCGTACCTCCGTACCATTTGCCATCTGCCAACGTCCATTCCGCATCTGCCGTCTGTCACCACCCACCATCAACCACCACCCACCACCACCACAACCTCCATCCTCAACATCTTCAGCTACGTCTCGGCAGCGATTTTTCCATTCCAGCCGGACCAACATCCTGAGACGCATCGAATTCCTCCAGCTCTACCCAAGCTACCCCGTACACCACGAATACCTACCAATAGTCTCTGATCTCTGACTATCGACACGACTGCCTTACCTCCTTCAACTTCCTTCGCGGCTTCGTCTTGGTTCAAGGGATGCCGCACGCCAGACGCACGCCAACCCACCAGCCCACTCACACTCGCGTACTTTTTCTCTGTTGGCACACCCTCACAACCCTCTCACCGGGCCCTTCCCTTGGATGGACACCACCACCAGACCAGACCGCCTGGCTAGGAGAAGGACGGGAGTGACGGGCTTTTCAACTCTCGCCAATCATGTTGGCATCATAGCGACAATGGAGCATCGCCACACAATACTTTCTGTGGTTCTCTTGCGAGCCCCTCGTCTGAGAGACCGAGACCAGGCACTCGTTCTCGACCTCAGCCATCAAGGGCGGCCCTCCCTTGCCCGGCCACAGTCGAGCTCGGTGTGACCCAGGCCCTAACACCGACCAGGTCCAACCCCGGACGAACACCATCAAAAAACACAAAAGTCGCTGCCGTCACATCTCATCACCACCACCCGATAGGATCCGTACTCGTCCCGTGACAACCATCCCGTAGGTAACCACCGTGGGAGCTGCGTACCCCTGTACCTGAATCTAGCCTCGAGATGTCTACCCGGGTTCAATTATCGAAGAAGCCATCGTCAATCGGAAATCCACGCCGAATGCTCATTCATCCTTGGGACGATGCCAGCAATTTCGACACAAAATGCATACACGCCAAGGAAACACTGCTGAGAATCTCCTCTTGGCTCTTTGAAATGAACTACTCTTTGCGAGGTATTGTCCCTCTAGCTCAATCGCATTCGCGATCTCCGGGCGGGAGTTACAGCCCGGCAGATGAAAGCCGGTCGTTATCCAGCTTCCCCACCATCTCGTCAACATCGCATTCAACATGGCACTGCCACGGTACAACAATCGATCCGACGTTTACAGCCAACGACAAACTTGGCCCCGAATGTTTCGGTCTCGAACACAACGCTAGCTTACCGAGTCGCGGTCCTGCGCCAGACGTGTGCGCGGCAATCAATCACCGACATTATCCTCGCCTCGCGGTCTGGAATGATTCAGTCGCCCTCATCGCCAGCTCGCATCACCCACACAGGAGCGTCTTCCTAGCAGCCATGTTCTGGCTACTGGTACACTTCGATTTTTCGCTCGTCGCGAAGATACATTTGCCTGCCAACCTGCTATTTGTTTATCAGCCAGACAGAATAGGCAGCTCGCCCGTCTGCGATACGCACGCACAAACTCCAGCCGCATTCTCCACGATGTGCTTCAGCACCCTTCGTGCCTGCATACCTGCATTCACAGGACGTACCACAGCACGCTCGGGATGGGTGGAAACCTGCCGATGCCCTACGTTACTGCCCCGCACTTGACCGAACGCGGGGGGCTGGCCACCCAGCCCTGGTCCTGGACTGCTAGGCGATGGCCGCAGGGACACCACGACGCTGATTCTTATGCCCTATCTTCTAGAGTAAGGCTGGCGCCGCTCGCTGGCCAGAGGGGGCGTGGAGGGCAAGGATGCCCGCCGATCTTCACTGACAGATCGCAGAATTCCTCACCATGCCGCTCCACCGACGCTGCTGAAGATCACCAAGACCCTATGTCATCATGCGCGACGCTTAAGAATTCTTTACCAAGCCGCCATTGAACTCGTCGCCCCTATCATTTTAAGGGTTGAATCGTCGTCCTCGCTGGACAGGTAGGTCAGCACTGACCGTTTTCTTTCAAAGTCGAGATGCTGTCCGGAAATCCTACAATATTTGGCTCGTTGTCGGCTTCGTTGATTAGATTACTTTGGCGGATCCCCAAGCGCCCATCAATGCTGGACAACTCAGCACTCCTCATTCGTCACCGGGCATATCGCTCACTTTCCCTCTGTCGTCCTCTTCATCAAGCGCACCGACAATTTAGAATTCTATAGATGACTCTCACGACGTTGCGTCTGCTTATCTGCGCTGCGCTGCGCCGCCAACCGCTGCATCAGCTCACAGCCACCGTAAAGTGTCGCATAGCACGACGTTTGATTTCCAATGTTCGACGTTGTCAAACAACCGATAGAGGGTCCAGTAAATGTCTGATCCGACTGATCAGGTGATGCCGACCTCGTCTCCCAGTTGGCCCAGAGTGACGGCCATGAACGAAGTATCTGCGTCAATCTGAACGGCCCAGCTCAGGTCAGCCAATGCATGGCAGCCCCCACCAAATGATCCTGGCTCCTGGCCGTCCATACTCGCTGCTCGGAGAATGAGGAATTTTAGACTCTGCGCGGATGAAACAATGCATCGGAATCCCCGCCCCTTGGCTTCGCGTGTCAACGGCCTGCTGGGAAGATGCCGGCACGTAGCCAGCCTAGCGCCTGGCTACTACTGCCTGTCAGCGGAAACAATGGGCGGGCAAGCATCGGATCGCTGATCAGAACTCAGGGCGAGATCCCGCCCGCTCTTCCAAGGACGCAAGCTTGGAGCCGCTGTGATTGGAATGCATCGAGCGACGGGTCACTGGCGCCAACATGAGTCTGCAGCTGGGACTCGAGCAAGGCGTCTCCTTGTACCATTATCGTCGAGCTCTGCAGAGTACATACTGAGATTCTTTATCCCGCGGCGTTGTTTGGTCAACAATCGCAGCCACCCCTCCGCATCCAACACAGGATCAGCGACTATAGATGGGCGAGGATATTCTGCCAGCAGCTCCCGCTATTCTGCCCCCAAGTGTGGCTGCGGCAGGCCCTACCTCCGGGCTCGGAGCCCAGCTGCCCATACCCACCCACCTACCCACCTACCTACCTACCTACCTACCCACCCACCTATAACCACTACTTCGTCAACCTCGCCGTCACTACCGCTACCGCTATTACTAATTAAAACTATTCCTAACGTTAATATACTATAAAAAGAGAATAATTATAAAATTAACAATCCCTTTGTTTATTAGTATATTATTAATTATAATAAATACGGTTATATAGAGTATAATTACTTACTTTATAGCTAGCGATTCCCTACCCTATTTAATATTAAAGTAGTACTTAATAAGGCTATTTACGAAGCTAGCTTCGTAATCTAAATTATTTAATATAAGCCCTCCGCTAGGGCGTTAATTACTATTACTTATTATTATATTTATAACCCGCGTTATAATTAAAAACTATAATACTTCGTAAAATTAACCTACCTAAATAAGTATTATAAATCCTTAACCTCGTTTATAAATTACTATTAGTAAATTATTATTAGCTTTTTAAGTAATAATTAGCTTTTTTATCCCGTCGTTAATAACTTTTATAACTACTATAACTACTTATTTAGTAATACTAACGCTTTTATATATTACTAACGCGCGCTACTATATAATAAAAAGGATTAAATCGTTAATTAATAAAATAAAAGTATTTAACCTATTTAAATCCTTTTAAACCTATAATTAAAAAGTAGTAATTATAATAATATTATTACCCGTAATATACTTAATATATTAACTACTTACTACTATAATAAATTAAATAATAGAACCCTTATTAAATAATTATTTAATTAATTACGTAATTTTATAAAATACTAGTACCGCTTTTAATATAATAACATAGGCTATATTATAAGCTTATTTATCGTACTTATTACTATAATTTCCCTATTTTAATAATATTTAAATATTTTATTAATAAATTCTATATATAAAACTAACTAATTTAATATACCCTTATTTAATATTTATAGGGTAACTAATAATAGTTATACTTTTTAAATTATAAGCTACTTTTTATTTAATAAAAAAGAAGCTAATTATTATTAAGTTATTAACTAGTTATTAGTATTACTCCGGGCCTATAAAATTCACTTTTTATAAGTTACGTATATAAATTATAAGATTACTTTACTTAATATTCTTAATAATAATACCTAATTTAAAATAGTACTACACGTATTCTATTACTAATATATTAACTTTAATATACTAGCCCGGACCTAGTATTACTTCGGCCCGGCTACGAAGAACGAGATTAGTATAATTATATATAACCCTTATTTCTAGTAATTTCTTATAGATTAGGGTAATTTCTTCTATAATTAATTAATAGTTATATATTATAACTAATTATTTAAATTTTAAATTACTAAGTACCCTGCGGTAGTAATTAATTACGTTATTAATACCTAGCTTAAGCTATAATATAAGAAAATCGTACTTATTTAAGTTAACTAAATTAGGTACTTCGGTTACTTAACTATATTAATTATTAAATCCTTATATATAAATATTAAAGTATAAGTTTATTACTATATAAGTAACTTTAAAGCCGTATTTAATAAATTAGTTATTTTTTAAGTAAGTTAAGCAGCCATAATTAGTACTTACTAAACCCGTCGCTAGGCTAAAGTATTAAATATTATTATAAAATTATTTTAAAAGAAAATACGTTCGTATATATATTATAATACTTTTAAATAACTTTTATAAAAACTTAGTATACTAAGTAAATAGCTAAATTTAGGTTTATTAAAAAAGCTATTAAAAAAGTACGTATACTACTTAATTCGAACTACTTATAAGCTACTTTATTATTACGTCTTTTAATAGTATATTAAGGACGGTACTTTAATACTACTAAAAAAGATCTACTTATACTAGTTTTAATAACGCTTAGAACTTATTATTAATAATAGTACTTCTACCCCCCTACTTAATCCCTTATAAGTCTAAGATAAGGGTCGCTTATAAAGCTCTATAGCAGGTATTATAGTAATTATAATAAATAAGTTAAAAAAGCTAGTTATTAATTAAAGTACCTTTTCTAAATAAAAGCCCTCTATGTTTAAGTATAAAGAAGCTACTAAATATATAGAAGTAGTACTTATATTAGTACTATTATTATTAATAATACCTCTAGTACTAAGTAGGGCTACTTCTACTTAACGAGGCCTCGAGATTATATATAATTCTAATATATACGAGCCTAGTATAAAAATATAGTAAAAGTACTAACGGGCTATTATTAATAAGATAATTAATATAATTAATAATAATATAATTAATCTTATAGGGGCTCCTCGGCCGCTAATACTTATAAAATTGTAATCTTAATTAACTAATAATCTTACGTAGTTAGATATACTATAAAATCTAACTAATAAAAATTATATTTATAATATTAATTTTATAATAAAAAATAAAATAAATAGATTTATTAATAAGTACGAGGCTAAAATAGAGGAAGTTATTAAATTACGGGCTATAAGCTATACAGAGTAATTAAGTAATTAATTAGGCTAATTTATTAATTACCATACTTTTTACTAAAATAATTTAATTAACTATAAGTTAATTAACGGCCTCTAATTAGTCTAATCTATTTAAATACTAACTACGCAGAGCCTAGCTTATGTATATGCCCAAGACCGGCGGTCGTGTAGCGGCCGTAGCTACACTTGGGGGCAGAATAGCGGGAGCTGCTGGCAGAATATCCTCGCCCCTATAAATTGACGGGTTGATAATGGGGGATGACGAGAGCGTTGGGCAATCTGACCTGTCTCCCACTCACACCTCGCAGTCCCCCTCACGAGGACACACCTTGGCTCGTTTCAAACAAAGTGCAGAAGACAGCAGTAGGCGCTGATGCATGCGAATCGACGAGGGAGGGGGATGGGATGCCCGGAGGATCGCTGTGACTACCAACGGATACGCAGTAGACGGGATACCGTTTTGGGAGACGCGCGTGGAAGCCTGCAGCCATATGCAGGTCGCTTTACTCGAAGTCTCGAACCGTACCTGGAATTGGCATTGGCACCCGCACTGCTCTCACGCTGCTGCGAGTGTTGTGCTTTGGCCCGACTAGGACAATCTGCATATCCGTTCTCGACTGCGACCCTGTTCATGCAGCTCGGATCCTCGGTGTGGTTCTGGTCGGTGGTAGTTTGCATATCTGTACAGCTTCAGCAACCATCAACTCGAATCGTTACAGTCCCTGAGACCAAGCCTGGATTTCGAGTTGTTCTACGGAGCCTCAGCAAACTACTACGAAACCCGGCAGCCCGTCCAGTCGAGACAAAGATGCTGCTCCAGCACCTGCCTGCCAAGTATGTCGAGTGCCGGAAGCCATGGGGAAGACGCGAGACCTTTTGTCACAGCCACTTGGCTCCCAATTCCCCCGAAAGCATCCAGTGGCTCAGGGGTGCTTTCTGCCAGCTGAACGCGACCAGCCACGTCTGTCCCCAAAAGTCTATCGAAGTGACCGCTCGCTTGGATCTCACCGCCCAAGGTCTAAGACATGGCCGAACCTGTGATCCAGGCAAGGGAGCTGCCGTAGCCACGGGGTTGAATCAACTTTGTGCGACATTCTACGCCACATTGTGCTCCAGGCACAGGATGGGAGAGTCTTTGTGAACGACACGCAAGAATTCTGTTATCGCGTTGGCAGGCTTGCACGCCTGAAACTTGGATCCCTGCAGACATCGTGACGGTCGTGGGGTTCGTGCTGGTTCGCGAACAAACTAGTCCAAGACTACTTGTCTCACGCATCTTCCTCGCAACTCGCCAGACCACCTGTGAGGAGTATGTGAAAATCAAGGACTAGATTCTCGCCGCAGCAGTGTATGCTTTACTGAGGCTTGCCCAACGAACTCCATGCTGCGTGATATCCTAAATCAGCGTCCACGCTTGCAGTTACCGGTGATTATCACAGATCAGTGTCTGCTCCACAGCTGATTCA